GGATAAAAAATGAAATTTTTAACCTTTGTTGATTTGCACAATCTTTTGCATAATTTGAAGGCTTTTCTTTCTTACCAATGTATTGAGAAAGCCGATGGCATTTTGCAAATTTTCAGCAACAAATAAAACTTATTTTTTTTTGTTCAGCAACAAATATATAACTTTTCAGGTTTACAATAGCAATTTACTGCTTTCACGTCTTTTCGAAGGAAGTATTAATGAAAGTGTTGCCTTCTGTCTTAGACGGCAGTGAAAAGAATCGTGTAAATCCGAACGAACAATTTCATTTCCGTGATGAATTAAAAGCGGAAAAGGTAATACATCAAAACATAGGTGAAAGTAAATACGAACGTTTGAAAATGTCTTTCGGAGATGGTGGCTAAGTATAATGTGATGTTGAAACATAATGTTGTGTTTGTGAGCTGTTTATTTTCAGACAATTCGGTCATTCCATAAGTTAGAATTCAACGATTCCGTCATAATACGCATGAAGCATGAACATTATGCTTATTTTATTCTCAACAAAGATCAGTGCATGTAAATATTTGAATGTAAAACGTAATATTATGAAGCAACGCAGTACTTCAAATGTTAATTAGAATGCAATTGTTGTGGTACTTCTTTTAGAGCGATGCTCATATTTTTCCAGAATTACGTTCTCATTTTTGGATGCGCACGAAGTTCCGGTAGTTCAGTTTAGAATTAACCCTGGCATTGCTCAAGTAAACTTTTGTGTTTCAATACAGTTAAATGATTTATTAGAGATTCGTTGCATTAAAAGTGAAAGTTATGTTCTGGATTATTTTCCTGTAAGATGCAATCGGTTTGTAGCATTAGATAAGCCAAATCAGAATTAAAATGCTTCGCAAAGTATTACTTTGCAAAACATTTTAAGCCTGATTTTGTAAACTAAATTATTTGTTCATTTTCAGTTTTCGTTGTTATGCCATTCTTTGATTGCTGTTTCTGTTAATTTTCCGAATAACAGTTATCGAAAATATTATGAATTTGTAATATTATTCTCAAGTGCTGGCATAAAGGTATTCATTTTTCTAATTAGTAGTTAATATTCAATTATTTTCCAATTGTTCTTAATTTAGTTATCTCTTTATACGCAAATATGATTTTCAGCTATTTTACAATGAAGATGACTATATGACGACAGATCGTTGTGTCAATCGAATTACCGAAATTACTAAACTCAGTCTCTCTGTAATCAAAGCAGAAAAGTTCGAAGCGATGGTGGAAGTACAAACTGAGAAATCTGTAAGTGCTGGGCACCAAATATTTCCCCTGTTGAAATTGTTCACATCACTAATTATTGTTTATTCATTTTATTGTTTTTTGAATGCGACAGATTTTTCAGCGGATCCCCAGCAATTGGCACATTGTAAAATCAATTCCAATAAACCACAAAATTGTTATCGATTATTACCCGAGTAAAAATAGCATAATTACAATCCGAGTGGGGGATAAAAACGGAATAGCAGCACTTGCTGTAATCGTGGACTACACAAAAGGAGTAAGA